TCTCTCACCTGTCTGTCTGACTATTGGTCTGTCTTACCTGTCTGTCTCACCCATATGTCTGACTGTCTGTCTGTCTTACCTGTCTGTCCGTCTCACCCGTCTGTCTGTCTGACTGTCTGTCTGTCTCACCTGTCTGTCTTTCTCACCTGTCTGTCTGACTGTCTGTCTTACCTGTCTGTCTTTCTCACCAGTCTGTCCGACTGTCTGTCTCACCTGTCTGTCTCTTACTGTCTGTCTGTCTCACCTGTCTGTCTGTCTTACCTGTCTGTCTGTCTTTCTCACCAGTCTGTCCTACTGTCTGTCTGTCTCACCTGTCTGTCTTTTCTCCGCAGTATTTCCGGGCTCACAGTTTGTCCACAGACAGAGGGACGATTCACAGAGGTCAGACTTTGTGTTATTTTAGCTGTTCATGCTTCAAAACGTTCGGCTGATTCAGGAGATGTGACTTTTAAACTTTTCAAAATATTTAACTTTATAAATATTTTCACAGAGAAACACATTTAGAGCTAAAAACATCAAACTCGCTTCAGCTGCTGGCTCTGTTTTTGTCAGCTCATGCTAATTTTAGCTACCCTTTTGTTGCTTTAGCTATAAGCTATTTGTTTTCTACTTTTAGCTACATTTAGCTTCTTTTAGCTTTAGCTAGTGGTCTGCTTCTCTTAACTTGTAGCTACTGTTTTGGTCCTTTCAGCTGATAGCATGCCTTTTTGCTACTTTTTAGTTTTTAGCTAGCACTGTGCTATTGCAAACTTTAAGCTACCATTTTGCTGCTTTGCTTTTTATTAATTTTAGCAGATTTTTTTGCTTCTTTTAGCTACTGTTTTAGCTTGAACAACATTCAAATGTTTTTTTTTCTTTTTAATATTATAAATTTTAAAATTGTGTTTAAAAATGAGAATGTAAAATGATTAATGTGTGTGTGTGTGTGTGTGTGTGTGTGTGTGTGTGTGTGTGTGTGTCAGGAGCTGATAGGGAGATCCAGTCGGTCCGTCGGCTCATGATCAATGTTCTGCAGAACCACACCCGGCTGGACCGACCTCAGCGCTGCCCTCGTTTGGAGCCGTACAGGTACCAGAACCAGCACCGGAACATTTACAGAAGTCTGTCACACCATTAAACTCTGCATGTGTGTGTGAAGCTCCTCAGAGCTCCTCCCATTGCTGGGTCAAAGGTCAGATCACTACACCGCCATCATTGTGGAGGAACCGGACTCGTACGTCGGTCGTGAGGTGAGAACAAGTCCAGCTGGACTCGGAACAGAACCGACTGTAATAACTGTCTTTGTCTGTGCGACTGTAATAACTGTCTTTGTCTGTGTGTAATAACTGTCTTTGTCTGTGTGACTGTAATAACTGTCTTTGTCTGTGTGTAATAACTGTCTTTGTCTGTGTGTAATAACTGTCTTTGTCTGTGTGTAATAACTGTCTTTGTCTGTGCGACTGTAATAACTGTATTTGTCTGTGTGTAATAACTGTCTTTGTCTGTGTGTAATAACTGTCTTTGTCTGTGTGTAATAACTGTCTTTGTCTGTG